CGGATTTCTGCATCGTTATCATCAAACCAATCTTGATGTGTACGTATGGGAACACCGAGTAATTCAAGGGCTGTAGAATGCAGCACGGTCTTGAGAGCAGTCCAGTCTGCCCCAGCGTCTGTATGCTCGAAGCTTAGAGACTCCAGGTCATGGTCTAAAGCCTCAACAAAGGCCAGTCTGGTGTGTTCCTGTTGTAGGCGAGTCACGTTAAGACACTTGACACCTCTATTTCCTTGTGGGCGTCTGGGAGGCTTAATCCGGATGTTAAGTTTGGAGATAATGAGACAATGGTCAGTCCAACATTCAGCACCACACATTGCCTTGGTCACCCTGACCTTGTGCCGGTCGCTCCTCCTCACGATGACTTAGTCAAGCAAGTGCCAGTGGTGTGAACGAGGATGCATCCATTAAGTTTTCTTGTGCTTTGCTAGTTGGAATATCGTGTTGGTGATGAGCAGGTCAAATTCCGAGCATGTTTTCAGCAGCAGAAGACCGTTGCTGTTACATTTTCCAATGCCGTGTGCACCTATGACTTCATTCCATGATTGATTGTCACTTCCAATTCTGGCATTGAAGTCACCAAGTATCAGGAGTTTGTCAGAGCTGTCTGTGGCAGCAATAATGACTTCCAGGTCATTATAAAACTTGGTTTTGATCTCGTTAGAGTTGGTCATGTTAGGGGCATAGGCACTGATGATGGTGGCCTCCTTTTTACCCAATAGGTGGAGTTTTAAGGTCATTAAACGGTCGTTTATCCCCTTGGGTTGGCTTGCCAGTTGGTTGAGCAGGTGGTTTTTTTACAGCAAACCCAACACCAGCATCACGTCTCTCTTGCTGGCCTCGTCCGTTCCAGAAGAATGTGTCACCTGCACCCACTTCAGTCACCTGTCCAGTATTGGCCAGTCGGGTCTCACTAAGGGCAGCAACATTCACATTGTATCTAGCTAGCTCTCTTCCCACGAGGGTGGTGCGTCTCTCAGGTGTTTTTGATCCAGATGTGTCCATCAAAGTGCGCACATTCCAGGCGCCAACAGTGAGTGGTATCACTTTGGTCTTTTTCATTTTATTTGTTTTTTTCGACCGCAAGTATGAGATCCCGCCAGCTGCGGTAGGCTGGCCAGGATGTTTTGATGCAGACAATGTTTAGGGTACCTTTGCTAACCCTGTCCTCACTACGGAGGTGAGCAGTGTGATCCTGAATAGGGCTGCTCAGTCACTCAGGGTGCTGCCGGAATTTACTGCTGCTTTGGTCCAGTGAGCGAACGACCAATATCCTGAGCCGCCTGCGTGAAAGTTTGCAGCTACAGCTTCCAGTATATCCGTGCCTGCTGCTTCGTCGCTCACCCATCGCCACAGGACTTGGATAATGACGATGGCAAAAAGTGCCATGACTTGCGCAGAGAACTTGGATTTAAGTGAGGGTGATTTGCGCGGCGTCAACCTCACTCTCTCGACCATCTGTACCCAGTGGCAAGACGTAGTCAAGACGACTGGAGATGGTCCTGGTTGCAGTGGAAGGTCCAAAGACCCTTTTGGTGGACACGCCCAGGCTCAGACAAGCTGAGTTTTCCGGGTTAGTTAACCACCACCCGGGGTTCGGCGTTGTCAGCTGCTGACTGCACCGACTCACCAGGGATGTTGAGCCTGGTGTGTTGTCAGCTGCTGACTGTAGCGACTCACCAGGGATGTTGAGCCTTGTGTGTTGTCAGCTGCTGACTGTAGCGACTCACCAGGGATGTTGAGCCTGGTGTGTTGTCAGCTGCTGACTGCACCGACTCACCAGGGATGTTGAGCCTGGTGCGTTGTCAGCTGCTGACTGCACCGACTCACCAAGGATGTTGAGCCTGGTGTGTTGTCAGCTGCTGACTGCACCGACTCACCAAGGATGTTGAGCCTGGTGTGTTGTCAGCTGCTGACTGCACCGACTCACCAGGGATGTTGAGCCTGGTGTGTTGTCAGCTGCTGACTGTAGCGACTCACCAGGGATGTTGTCAGCTGCTGACTGTAGCGACTCACCAAGGATGTTGAGCCTGGTGTGTTGTCAGCTGCTGACTGCACCGACTCACCAGGGATGTTGAGCCTGGTGTGTTGTCAGTTGCTGACTGTAGCGACTCACCAGGTATGTTGCATCTGGTGTGCGCCTACGGGAGCAGCTAGAGGGACGGGCCAGCTGGAACAAGGGGTATGACTGTCCCCTTATCCGATACCTGAGGAGGTATGGCCTCCGCGGGACCTATCACTGGTGACCTGCTAGCCTAACATCCTCCAGCTGGGACCTAGAGGAGGCCGACTGACCCGACCACTCGGTCTGGACCACTGGTTTCACCGAGCCCCAGCCCTTATAAGGGCTGTAGAGCTTGGGGTCCAGGGTCCTATCTTCAGCCCGGGCTTCAGTCTTCGTGTGGAGAGATAACTGAGCCAGAGCTCTCAGCGCTCTGGCTTTTATACCGGTTTGTGGCTGGCTCCGTCCAAGCCACGCCCCCTTTCTGGAACCTTCTGGTTGACCCTGGGAGGTGACATCATCCTCTCAGGATCCGTTGTTTGGATCTGCTGTCAGCTGTTTTGACCCACGGTATTTCACCCAGTGAGGTAACGCTGCTGCACCCTGTTGACACCCAGTGGTACTGCAGGTTACTGAATGGCGAGTGACGATCACCTCTACACACACACACGTGAAATAAGTTGCCTGGAGTATGGAAGGCGAGGACATGAAATGAAGGGGTCTACAAACATTACATTGGTGACATACTGAGATAGTAACAGACACGCGCTTATTGCTCGCGAAGCGGAGCTCTGCAGATTCGGCGATTTTTTTACCGATTGAAATCGTACAGAAATGACATTTATAAACAGATGAGTGGCAAAATCTGAATGTTTATTTGATTTTGTTATTCCTTTTTTTTGTAACACCTATTTTCATTGGAGTATGACAGGTGAGGCTCTGCCTCCCCTGACCCCACGTCCCGAAACAAGTACGTACACGCATTACAGACCCACAGACACCGAGCCGTGAGGACCAATAGATACCCACAGATTAGCAGTGGGCTACGTACGGTAGGCCAAAGTCGTTATACATTCCAGCAGTGGATGAATCATGGCCGATCTTCACAGTAGCCAGTGTGAGCTCACCCACGATTAACCACTACACGTGTATAATTGTGCACTGTAGCATCTGGACGCAGAGTCTTGAGGTATACTTCGAGGTCTAGATGCTGGGGCGTCTCGTTCCGGTGTTGTCGTGGAAAGTTGTGGCGATTTCCTTTGGAGACGACCGATAACCACTTTCCAGAATCTTTTTTTTGGATGGGAGTGCTACAATTAGTACGAGTCTTGAGGGTGAACGTATCTGGTGTGAGCTTACCCGTGACGGATCATGTGCACTCAGCGAATCACTACGCAGAGCCACGTGCGTTTCATTATTATGATGATCGGGCGATGGTGATTGGACCCAGAGCCCCCACGTGGAGTATGAGGCACGTCCCAAATATAAATTCGGGGCACTTCTGGACCGGTAAGCTGCATGTTAAATAATTAGCTCCAACAACATGTACCCCCTTTCTGGCAAGATACAACTTAAATTTGATATAAATTTAATGTCAATTGACCAACAGGAACTCTGTCATGTTAAAAAGTATCGAGTTATTTGGTGGAAATGAAAATATTGCACAACTTAAAATATTGAAATCAAATTTAATATCACAATAGTTACCTAAAAATAATTGACAAATGCAGCTGTGGTGTTGCGATGGAGGGCATCTCTGATTGATACCGCAAGTGCAAGACGTTCACTTAGGAGTTGCATTATACGAGTTGTCGTTTTTTTGCAGGAAATCTAAAAATGGCGCCGTACCTCGTGGCGAGTTACGAATTGGATTTACGCTTTCCTGGCAATACGTCAGGAGTTGTGTTAGATGTTCAAACGCCAAACAGAAACCTTTTGCGGGGAATAAAGTTACTGTATCTTCACCACAAGTTTACTGCGTGTGGTTAATACAAAGACGCTCTCATAATTAGAGCGTGCTAATTATAATTGTATATGGCATTGTCTTTGAAACGGATTGGCCTGCACCAGACGGCATCCGTCTTTAGGGCCTAGTCAGTGTCGACCAGAGAACAAAGTAAAAAGGCGAACAATACAAGGGACATTGCACTCAGGGTTATTTATAGCTTGGGGTGAGAAGCTGCAAATGGTAAATTTTATCATTAAGAGTGGAAAGACGGAAACGGCTTAACCGACTGTGCGGTGTGCACACAAATCTGGGAGAGATCGTGTGGGGTGGATGGAGAAAGGAGCGGTTGGTCGGGGAAGATGCAATTCCAAAATACACAGCAGCAGCAGGCATCGTCAGGGGCTGGGAATCTAACCCACGACGTCCTGCGTACCAGGCGAGGGAGTGAACATTTAGCTACACCTACACCCCAGTCAGTCACTCTCAAATTAGATAAGGTACACAAAGTACAAGTTTATTGAAAAGTCTTAAAACGTTACAGCTTTAGGTACGTATGCAATACGAGTTTAACCATCCCCATGTTGACCAACAAGACCCGGTTTCACTTACCCACCCTGTAACTGAACGGGATTAAAGGGGGAATGGTATCACGTACGCATAGTAAGATAAAAACATTACTCAGGAGACGTTCACGTATTATTATTTAAGGAGCCCGGTTCACTTTATCCACACCTACACCCTAGATAACGAGGGGGTGTAGGGGGGGGTAAGCGGGGTTCGTGTAATCATTTTAAAAAGCGTCTCGATACGTGTTCACAGCGGTGAAGTATCCAAGCGGTAAAAGCGTCAAAGTTTCTTTTAAAAAAAGGTGACTAATCTTTAAATGGTTCACTTATCCAACCTAGAGTGAAAAACTACTGATAAGCGATACTACTACATCACCAAGGGAGGGAGACCTATCAGACCCAGATCACTTTTAACGAGTGCTACCCAATCCCATCTATAGCAATGGTCACAGGATGGAGGGAGGATGGTCACAGGATGGGGAGGTCACAGGATGGCGCAGACGTCACGGTCCCTGCCCCTCTTGGGCTCCCTGGAGCCCTTCCAGCCACACTCCAGTGCGTAGCTCTCCAAGCCCTGCACGAGAGAGAGACAGAGGGCAGACGAGACAGGAGGTCCCCCAGGTAGCCGCCACGGGCTGGCTGGACGAGGGGGTAGGCCTTCGCAAGGTAAGGTACAAGTGTAAAAACGACGAGCCTACCGTTACCCTACCACAATACAATCACTCTACCCTACCTTTTACCCTTTAGCAGGCAAGGTAAAAAGCAACGAGCCTACCTCTTACCCTTTGGCATGTCGACACCTTTCCATACTTACGTGTAATCTTTTTTTGTATTTTAAGATTGTTTAATACGGCTAATTAACATTTTACATTTCGCATTTTATAAGGTCTACTTATTCATAATTTTATAGATTTTAGCCCTTTAGTATTACTTATATTTTGTAACGTTAGTATAGTTAGAGTGTACAGTATACCTTTTATACAAGTTAAGATTCCTACTTGTTAAATGTATGCACCGCCCCGCCATAGTGAATTCCTTGTCTGTGCAAACTTACATGGCGATTAAAACCGTTTCTGATTTGATTTACCCGGTAAAAAGGGTACAATTACCTTGCCGAGGCCTAGGAGGAGGGGGTGCAAGTTGCTGTCGGCTAGCAACGATTTCAGCAGCCACACCTTGACCTGCATCTCCCCCACGAACCCTTGCCCACTCACCTCCAGCTTGTGTCTCAGGTTGGAGATGTGCAGCTCCTGCTCGCGGTTTTTCTCCTCCAGACGCCGCTGCCGCTCCGCCATCTCCTTCTCCTCCACCGCTTTTTCTGCGGGGGGAGATGGAGGGGGGGTGGAGGAAGCTCAAAATGCGCTGGCCTGCAGGTCACCCGCTTACCTGGGGGGGACATCTGGAAGTTTATAAAGAACGCTTCACAAGCTCAGGTTTCTCCCGGGTCTAAGAGATTCGGATCTGCTGGCATCACCATCGGCACGAGCCTCCACCTGGGAGAGTTGCCGCGAGATCTCCATTCCGGCTCTCGGTCAACACTACCATCATCAACCCCTACCGGAGACCATCAACCGAACCACAATACCCAGGGCCGCACCTAGGTCGGCTCAGCCTCAAATTTAGTACCTGGGGTGCAGTGGAAAGACATGAACTCTGAAGAGACAAAGGTGCTCCCAAGGGTTTGGTGTTGGCCACTGGGAGCTATTTACTTTTAAAATCTAGGATTGACAAGCTCATTTATTTTCACAACTGCTGTGCGTTGGGTTTGTCACGCGAAATAAATGCACACAAAACACTCAAACAAGACCCGCCATTCACCATCAAGCGGTGGTGACGTCACCACGGCGCCCGTGCCAGACCCGGTGCACTTGGGAGGCCACGTGACGTGTCAAAATCTCACAGATGCAGGCAGGAAGTCACGGGACAGGCCCAGCAGGTGCCACGGATCGACTGACCGAGATGACCGGCCGATGCACCACGTCGCCCCCTACTGTGCAAAACTGCGTTTTATCTGCCGGCAAGTTGCTCATTGTTGCGAGCGCCGCTCTGCCCCCTCAGTTGTTGCTGGAGGGCGACTGCCTCCAACTTGACCAGCAGCATCCTTCACGCGTACTGCCAGTGCCGGCCTTCATTGGTGCGCTACCTTGCTAACAGCACTTGCCCCAAGTCTGTTACAGGTGACACGGTGGTAGTGGGGAGGAGCTTTGTCTTTGTGTGTTAGTGTGACGTCAGAGTTCCGTGTGCTCCCCCCCCCCCTCACTTCGTTTTTCCTCCTCCATGGCAGTAACGATCTTGTCCACAATGAAAATCGCCCGGCCATCCTCCGCCTTCTCGTTCAGGAATAGGGCCAGGATTCTATCCATCTGTGCAGCGTTGACACACACAGCACAAGCCAGGCAAAGAATACTCTTGCACACGCATGGAGCGGCGTGCGTCAGCACTTCGGGAACACACCTCCGATTAGCACACTGCGGAAGGGACGACTCACGGAACCGATAGCGCGTTTGTCTGCGTACGAGCGAAAGTTCGTACAAGAACACGATGTCGCGGCTGACAAAGGTTCAACTTTCAGTGCCTTTCTTTAAACAGGTCCAACGTCTTTGGGTTCATCATACAAATTATTTAAAATGGTCTCAGCCGACTTTGCGCGTCAGTCTTTGGCCGCTGCGTGCTACAAAGGGGGCTCAAATATTCTGACTTGTAACTCCAGGGTCACGTGGCCAAAGGTGCAGCTCCTGCAAGTGCCTTACTTAACCCACTACTCCACCCCCCGACCTCCCAATCAAGTTGCACCAAGAGACATGGAGGGGGGTACACGGTTAGCGATGCTCTGGTACCTACACAGGGAACTCCGTACTAGCCCAAGTGGTGGTATTAGTACACAGCACCGCTTAGCAGAACCTTTGGCCAGTATTAATACACCGAGATTACCCGGCACCAAGACCGGCATTAGGAAGTTCTAACACCAAATTGCAGGCAGTCCCACCTCAGGTCAGCCGTACTCATGGACCAGCTCCCTTGAGAGCTCGCTTGTAGCTCGGCTCGCGCCAAAATACGCGTATTGCATTTGTAATAATAAAATAATAATAAACAGGTCTGTCGGAAAGACAGCGTCTGAATGACGCAGTCTTTCAGACAGACCTGTCCTTCACCCGAGGACGGCTGCTTGCATTGTGGCTGAAACGGCGTGAGAATTGTATTATATTTTGTTTTATTTAAATTATTTTATTATTTCCCTTCTACGCGACTTTACCAAAAGAACCAAGAAGAGGAATCCCTGCAGTCACGAAAGCTTTAAATCGAAATTGCATTTGTAGTTTGCTTTTGGGAGTTCTGGTTTAGCACTGGCGGCGAGACAAGGCCATATGGAACGCTGCAGCTCTGGGTGTGTGTGCCAATCCCGTTTCACTGGCATGTATTAGGAGAGCATGTTCACCACACGTATTGCACGTGGTTAAAGCAGTAACAGTATCCGTCGATTTGAACATCTCTACGCAACTACCGTTTTAGTGCCAGCAACGGTAAAAACCCATTATTTTTCATCCCCCCCCCCCGGTACTACTTTCACACGGTAGATCACTATAAAACACGAGGTCACTCCGTACCGCTTTTCTCTCGTAACTTACCACGCGGTGCTCATGGAACTACGTACTACAGACAAAGATCCCCCGTACAGCCTTAGACTCGGGGCAAGTGCTGTTAGCGAGTAGCAGCCCCTATGAAGACCGGAACGGCACACGAGGGGGAGAGTGATTAGCCCCACGCCCGGCCATCTTCATCTCCCCCCAGTGGCGATGTTTTTTTATTATGAATCACACCCAGCGTATTCATTCGCGGCACAACTCGCAAGGCAAAGACAAAGACCCCCGTGTAGCCTCTAGCACTGGTTGGGGCAAGTGCTCTTAGCAAGCACCTATGAAGGCTGGAACGGTACACTAGGGGGTGGGGGTCGCCAGCCCCACGCCTGACTGCCTTCATCTCCGAGTGGCGATGCTTACATGCTGTACCAGGCACTCATATGGGGCCGAGTTGACCTAGGGGAGGCCCAGGAGCAGTAGAGAATCAATCGCAGAGGTCGCCAACGGGTTTTGATTCCTTACCCGTACCCGGCCGCACCAGGGTCGCAAACGGGTACCCTACCTGATACCCGGCTACCCGTACCCGGGCGGGTATCGGGTAGGGTACGGATACGGGTACCCGATTGCGACCTCTGATCAATAGTCACTGGTGTTGGCCGCGAGCGGGAATCAATCCTCAGAGGTTGCCGGGTTCGTAGCACCAACGGCTACCGAATTTGAGACCCCAGCCCTGACGCACAACCAAAAGCTGCCTCCACCGCCGCGTCCTCGTCTTCGTCACACGGCCTCCCAAGTCACCTCGTCGCCCAGCCCCGGCGTCTCGCTGTACTGGAGCACCAGGTCGTCCACGAGGCTGCGGTAGACAGCGTGGCCTCCCGGCGTGCTGAACGCGTCCTGCTCGTTCTTGAGCTTCACGCCGGCGTACAGCTCCACCAGGCGATGGCGGCACCGCCTCGCGGACGCCTCGTCGGCCTCCTGAAAGATCTCGTGTCGAGCCGCCGAGACGAGACCCTGGGCAGAGGCACAGAAATTGTCGAAGAGCTTTGACGAGCAGCAGCAACGACGACGACGACGTTACTTGCCGTCGTTTCAAATCCGTGAGCGAAGCGAGAAAGCCTCCTACGCGCCGCAGCAGCAGACCGGGTTGGTTGCGGCTCGCGGACGAACGGGTTTCCCTGCCACTTAAGCGGCAGACGCCGCTGTCGCCGGCAGCCATCCAAAAAGGCGGCACAAAGTGGAACCCCGCAGGAGATGGCCGCTTGCCGTCACGTGGCGTGCACAGGACGCCATGTCCAAGCGTGCAGCCGCCGCATGCAGAGCGCCAACCTCAAACGGCGCAGCAGAAAACTCGGGTAGGAAAAAATTAACCCGTAAAAACTAAGTTTTTCACTATAAATCCTTTATATGCGTGGCGGCTAGAGTCCTCTCGTCCTCTGGCGTGAGATGGCTGCCACCTATGGGTCAGATGATTGCCTGCCACCATTAAGCAATTGGTAATTAAATATAATTTATTTTTTCCTAAAAAGTGTAAAATTTAGTTTAAAAAAATGTCACGAAAATAAATTGTCACGCACAACGAGCCTGTGTGCAAAATGTCAGCTCGATTGGATCACGGGAAGTGGATTAAAAAACGACCGAAAGATTTGCACGGTCGTAAGCGTGCAAGCAAGCGAACTTAATATAAAGGATTTTAAAATGGCCGAAGCCGCATACACAGCAGCCAGCGCCAAACCAAGCGGGAGGTTGAACTCTGCTAGCCACACGGTTCACGAGTCCACTCACCCCACCAAATTTCGATTTAAAGCTTTCGTGACTGCTGCTAATCCTGCATGATGCACGGGCATAAGTAGTACTAATCACATACCTGCATTTCCCATAAATATGCTAAATTCATCTTGATATGCAAATTATTTTGTCAAGGCGCCCTTCCCCCCTTCCAACCCAGCTTAAATATACGCTCCAAGCGTGGTGCTGTTTCATTCAGACGCTGTGTCCCCGACAGACCTGTTCTTCACCCGAGGACGGCTGCTTGCGTTGTGGCCGAAACGTCGTGAGAATTATTTTAATTATGTTTTAATTTTATTATTTCCCTTCTACGCGACTTTACTGAAAGAACCAAGAAGATTCACCCCACCAAGTCACTTCCCCCGCTCACCACGAGTCTCATGGCGTACACCCCGTCCTTGTCGAGGAACACGCCGGAGGTGAAGACTTCCAGGGCATCGCCCACCGCCTCGGCGTGCCGCTCGTCCACCTGCGTGACGAGCGGCGGCAGCCGGAGCATCGCCGTGGACAAGCGGCGGCGGTAGGCCGCCAGTGCATCGAGGCACACGGCGCTGTTTTGGACGTCGCAGATCACCGCCGTCGCGGACTCGATGCAGAGCGGGGAGCCGGCGCGCTGGAACTCGCACAGCTGCTCAGCCAGCATCGTGAAAACTGCGGTGGGGAAGAGCCGCAGGTCAGGTGAGCCACAGCGTTCAGCCGCTACTCGGCAAAGTTCAACAACACTAGGAGACATCTCCTTTGCCAGTGGCAAAATATAGTAATAGGTTTTTTTATCCTTTCAACTGGTACAAAAACTGACACCTTTATACAAGGCATCATGTTTGTCGTGCGTCACTGGTGAGTAACCGTTTGGCACTCATTTCGGGTAGGGAACCAGTACCCGGGTACGGCTGGGTACGGGTACCCATTTGCGACCCTGGTGCGGCCGGGTACAGGTTGGCCGCGAGTCGCTGGTGAGTAACCGTTTGTCATTTCGGGTAGGGAACGAGTACCTGTACCCGGCCGGGTACGTATACCCATTTGCGACCCTGGTGCGGCCGGGTACGGGCAAGGAATCAAAACACGTTTGCGACCTCTGCCACCAGGCGTCACTCACGTGGCCCCGTGAGGGCTGCCCCCTGCAGGCGCTTGGTGGTGTTGGCCTGCAGCACGTGGTGGGCGAGCGGGGAGACGGCGTGGTGCAGAGCCACCTCCACCTGGCTCTCCGTCAGGCGCTCAGAGTCCGGCAGTCGGTCCGGCTGCACGGGGATTGGCAGGCCGAAGCAGCAGTGGCGCTGGGGGGAGGGGGGGTGGTGGTTAGGGGAGCTGGAAGTGGTAGCAGCACCTAGACGCAGACAAAGGTTCCCCCCCCCCCCCCCCCCCCGTGTAGCCTCTAGCAGACTGGTCGGAGCGAGCGCCTATGAAGGCTGGAACGGCACACGAGGGGGTGGGTGGCCAGCACCACGCCGGACCGCCTTTGTCTCCCCAGTGGCGATGTTTACACACCAGGTACTCATTTGAGACCGAGTCGACCTAGGGGAGGCCCAGGACCAGTTTTGATCATCGTCACTGGGTGGCGTTGGCGGCAAGCGGGGAAATCGAACGCGAGTCGCCAGGTTCATAGCGCAGCGCTAATAAACACTACCGCACCCCCCACACAGCGTGACCCCACAGAGGTCGCAACCAGGTACCCGATACCCGGCTACCCGTACCCGGCCAGGTACCCGTTTGCGACCCTGGTGCGGCCGGGTACGGGTAGGCCGCGAGTCACTGGTGAGTAACCGTTTGTCACTCATTTCGGGTAGGATACGGGTAGGGAACGGGTACCCATTTGCGACCCTGGTGCAGCCGGGTACGGGTAAGGAATCAAAACCCGTTTGCGACCTCTGCCCCACACACACACCACTCACCCCGATGGGGAAGTGAGCGGCGAAGAGCTCGCGCCTGCGGTTGAAGTCGCGGGTCGAGTCCTCGGTGCCCTCCCTGCGCGCCCGCAGGCCACGTTCCAGAACATCGTTGGAGGAGTTTGGCCGCGGGCGGAAGTCCCAGAGGGCCACAGAGAAGCCCGGCAGGGTCCTGCCCACGCCGTAGCGGTCCACGAAGGCGGGCCGGGGCGGCGAGTAGTCGGGCAGCACCACGAAGCGATGCAGCTCGTCCAGGAACCTCGGGCGCGGACGGGAGGGTCAAGGAGTGCAAGGAGCGTGGGGCAGAGGTCGCAAGCGGGCTTTGATTCCTTACCCGTACCCGGCCGCACCAGGGTCGCGAATGAGTACCCGTTCCCGGCCGGGTACGGGTACCCGTTCCCTACCCGAAATGAGTGACAAACAGTTACTCACCAGTGACTCACGGCTTACCCGTAACCCGGCCACACCAGGGTCGCAAACGGCTACCCGTACCCGGCCGGGTACCCGGGTATCGGGTACCCGGTTGCGACCTCTGGCGTGGGAGCAGCCATTGCAAGGAGCTGGGGCGCAAAGATTGCAAGGATTGCAAGGATTGCAAGGATTGCAAGGATTGCAAGGCAGGGGGACAGATTGCAAGGATTACATAAAGGGGCATATAGCAGCTCCGATGGGCCTGACCTGGCAATTTGTTTTTTAAACAATTTTTTAATCACGAGCTGCGCGTCAACATCACTTTGCCCCGGCGTGGAAGGCTACAACAACATGGGCGGACCAGCGAGAGTGTGTAGCGCACTGCGCTACAAACCTCGGCGATCCGGGTGTTCGATTCCCGCCCACGGCCGGCACCAGGTGACGATTATCTGAACCGTTCTGGGCCTCCCCTAGGTCGACTCGGCATCACGCGAGTACCCGGTGCGTAAAATAAACCATCACCACTGGGGAGAGACAAAGGCGGCCGGGCGGGATTGTTGGCCACCCACCCCCCCCTGCGTGTGCCGTTCTGGCCTTCGTAGGGTGCTACTCGCCAATAGCACTTGGCCCAAAAGTCTGTTATGGAATAAAATAAAGCACGACGTTTCGGGCACAGCACAAGCGTCTGTCAGCTTTTCCCCACCTAAATATAAAACAATAAAAAAAGTCTCGATTTTTTTTAATTGGTTTATATTTATATTATTTTATTATTTCCCTTCTACGTGATTTTACCGAAAGAACCAAGAATATAAATCAAGATTAGTCATATGGCTTGTACGGGGGGATGTTGGTCTGTGTGCGAGCAGCCATGGCGGGCGCACTGCGAGGATACCGCACATGATCCATGGAGTCCTTGCTCGGCGAGTTAGAGGTGCTCCAAACAAACTCGGCGCACAGCAGCATCGCGATGAGGATCAGGTAGTTGTCCAGATCGGGCTCCTCCTGGAAACAACAACAACAACCTGGCATGATACGCGGGGAGCGCAAATGCACCCTCTCCTCAATGGGTGTTGTTACGACACAGTGGCCCGTTCAAAGTAATCGTAATTCACAATTTATATTTATCAAGTGCCCTTGACGACGATGGTTCGAGGGGGCACCGAAAATTATTGATCGCCCTGGTCTCTGCAAATCCCTTCGTGGGTCTTGCCCCCCACCACCGCACCTTGCCACGCTCCCTACAGCGTCGCCTTCACCCTCTGCGCTCTCAATCGACGCCGTCGCCACCTTCTCAGCCCCCATCACCAGAACAAAACCTTCCCCCTCCACATTAAGCGGTCACCTTCCTTCACGCACCAAGTTTTCCTGCTCCTCACCTCAAAACTCACTTGTTTACCCGGCTCACTCCACTACCCCCCCCCCCCCCCCTCTTCATAACCACCACCACGTGATGCACCCCAGGTTAAGAACCACTGGTCTAGACACATCCAGCAGCATCCCAACGCCCAATTCCATTATGACGCTACAGTTACAACTGCCGCCGGCTACCACCTGGTGCTGTCACGTCACTTCCGGTCGCTCGATCGCGTTACCAACCCTTGGCCAATCGGCGTTATGACAACCACACGCGGCGTCGTTAGAGCAGAACGGAACCGGGTTACGGCTGCCTTGGCACACGGCTTCATTTTCTCACGGACATCACTCATTGAATCCACTCGTCATCATTGATCGTCAGAATAATAATTATATGGCTGTCACGCATCAACCGCATTCATTTCAATCCAATCATCATTGACCGTCAATTTCGCCACGAAAGTCACACAAACTCACCACCATTAACATCCGTAGGTTGTGCCGTTGTTAAATTCTGTACAAAGAGCCTTATTTTAAAAAGGCGCTACTTACATGCCTTTAAGGAGAACGACAAGATACGTCGTATGCTATTATTTAATTTATTATTTTATCTTTATACGCAACTTTACCGAAAGAACCAAAGAATAATTCCTGCAGTCACGAAAGCTCCAAATTAAGTTAACGACAAGATAGCCACTTGCACCCCCCAGGTGGCGAGCAAGTGTGGCATCGAACCGAGCGAGTGACGACAGGGACCCAACCCGGGTGATTCGGTGGCTGCGAGCGAGTGACTTAACAGTGAATGCGAGCGACTGAATGACCGAGCGAGCCAATGGCTGTGGAACAAGTGACCAACACAGTGCATTAGCAAGCGACCGTCAGTGGCCAAGCACGTAGATTAGCGAGCGACCTGACAAACCATCCATGCTCCCCTCACCTTGTTAAGACCGTCCAACCGCTCAACGTCCATCACCAAAATGGCTCCGTCAGACGGCACGGGAAAGGGCTTCACCCAGATCCAGATCCCTTTGGTGTTGTGCAGAGAAGCAGGCCCTATCGCGAAGCCTGAAAAAAAGTTTCACTTTTGGCAAACTTCAGCAGCATGAAGGGGGGCGACGGATCTAATGGGAGCCAGACGGCGGGTCCACGTTGCTCTCTAGAGATGAAGGGATTTGGAGACCTGCACCGTAGCAGAAACAGCTTGCACCTTCGCCAATAACGCAGCGGTCTTAAAACGAACGCAAACTGCAAATACAGCGTTCACGACCTACACTCCCATAGGGGTTCAGCATCAATCACCCCCCCCCCACCCTACCCCCCCCCCTTTACCCCCCCTACCCCCCCCCCTCCTTTACCCCCCTACCCCCCCCCTCCTTTACCCCCCTACCCCCCCCTCCTTTACCCCCCTACCCCCCCCTCCTTTACCCCCCTACCCCCCCCTCCTTTACCCCCCTACCCCCCCCTCCTTTACCCCCTACCCCCCCCTCCTTTACCCCCCTACCCCCCCCTCCTTTACCCCCCTACCCCCCCCTCCTTTACCCCCCTACCCCCCCCTCCTTTACCCCCCTACCCCCCCTCCTTACCCCCTACCCCCTCCCCCCCACCACCCCCCCACCCCACACCTGGTTCCTTGACACCCGCGAAGAAGTTGACGAGGAAGTCCTTGCCGCCCCGGTAGTTGCCCCCCACGGCACACACCACGATGGGGGCCGTGACGTCTGCGAGCAGACGGGACGCCTCGGGGCAGACGAAGAGCTTCCCGTGTTCGTCGGGTAGGATGAAGGGGACCAGCTTCGGCGGCAAGTACGTCTCGTCGTTGGGGCTGCCGAGGAGCGTGGGACGAGTCGGAGGGTCCCAGTCCAGACTCCGTCGTGAATGTCCAAACGCCATCGTGGTCAAGGGTTCCCCTCTCGTCCTGTCGGTTCACTCGCTTGCAATGGAATTAGATTATACATCAACCAGCCCCGGTAGTGGTGGTGAGCATGGGTGGGGTGGGTGACTTGGCGCCCCCAATTGTCCCCCGGTGACCAAAGCTGCGAGTTTGTGGTGGCGCCCCCCCCCTCCCCCCTCCATAAAAGATTCCCATGTAACTTCTTGGTTCTTTCGGTAAAGTCGTCACGTAGAAGGGAAATAATAAAAATAATAAAAATAAAACATTATAATTTCGATTTAAAGCTTTCGTGACTACAGGGATTCATCTTCTTGGTTCTTTCGGTAAAGTCACGTATAAGGGAAATAATAAAATAATAAAAATAAACGTAATCAAATAATTCTCACGACGTTTCGGCCACAACGCAAGCAGCCGTCCCCAGGTGAAGAACAGGTCTGTCGGAAAGACAGCGTCTGAATAAATTATTATGTTATATTTTTATTATTTTATTATTTCCCTTCTACGTGACTTTACCGAAAGAACCAAGAAGATGAATCCCTGCAGTCACGAAAGCTTTAAATCGAAATTTTATTATGTTTCAATTTTATTATTTCCCTTCTACGTGATGACTTTACCGAAAGAACCAAGAAGCTCAATCCCTACAGTCACGAAAGCTTTAAATCGAAATTTAGTCCCATTTAACTATTAACATTGTTTTTTTAAGCACGCTGTACACTGCAAAGAGAGAGAAACCTACCAACTGCGGAGCCGTTAGTGGGCTGCGTTTTTTTTTGCAAAAATCAGAGCCACCTCCAGCGCTAAATGTAGCAGAGCGTGGAGCTGTAACGAGGAGGAGGTGATTAGGGCAAGACGACGCCACGATAACTGCTAATACTGGTAGGAACCTCCTGGTTACACCAGCCCACAGGGGATTATTGTGGCTGTCCGTCGTGCAGGGAGAGGCTGGGTGGGCAGAGGCTGGGTGGAGAGGGGCTGGGTGGGGGGGGGGTGGAAGGGGTGGGGGTGGGTGAAGAGAAGCTGGTCACCCCGTGGTGCCCTTATAAAACTCAACGTTTAACCTACTCACGCCGGCTTGTGCCCGGGTGGGGAGGGGCTGTGTAGGGAAGATGGGGCTGGGTGGGGGGTGGGAGGGGAGGGGCTGGGTGGGGGGTGGGAGGGGAGGGGCTGGGTGGGGAGGGTGGGGAGGGGCTGGGTGGGGAGGATGGCGCTGGGTGGGGAGGATGGCGCTGGGTGGGGAGGATGGCGCTGGGTGGGGAGGATGGAGAGGGGCTGGGTGAGGAGTGGGAGGGGAGGGGAGGTTGGGGAGGGGCTGGGTGGGGAGGTGTGAGGGGCTGGTCACCTCGTGGTGCCCTTATAAAACTCAACGTTTAACCTACTCACGCCGGCTTGTGCCCACCCTCAGGTCGGACATATTTGCGGAATACACCACGCCGCCGTTGACCCTGCAGGCCATTGACCAGGACGAACAACCCAACGTTCCTACCAGCTCCTTCCGCAGGAATGTGTTAATAGCAGAGCGTCCGACAAGACCACAGTGCTGGGGGTCAGTGTCTGATTAAGCTAGTGCAAGGCCCCAAATTAAAAAAAATATTAAAACTAATTTTTTACTTCCACAGTAAAGCAATTGAATTTTTTTAATTTGCTACACAGCCAAAAAATACGACAAAGCACTAACCTTAAACACCCAGTCGTCTGCAAAAAGTTGAAGGCGGTACAGTACTATAGTAATAGAGCAAGTGCAGAATCACCGAACCGGAATCGATAGCTTGAAAGCGTTTAGCGTGGGGGGCCCTTGAAAGTGCAGGACCCGTGGCATTTGTAGACACTTTTGCTACGAGGATTATCCGGCACTGCTGGGGGTGACCAACACCAGAGGTCGCAAACGGGTTTTGATTGCGTACCTGTACCCGGCCACACCAGGGTCGAAAATGGGTACCTGTACCCTACCCGATACCCGGCTACCCGTACCCGGCCGGGTATCGGGTAGGCAGAACCGGCCCTAGACATTTGGGGGCCCTAAGCAAAATTTGGTTGGAGGCCCCTTTGAGGTATGATTTTTTTCACCCACTAGCTAGCAGTGACTCTATGGGGCCCTCTGCTGGCCACGGGGCCCTTTGCAATTGCAAGGGTCGCTTAGTGGCTGGGCCGGCTCTGCGGGTAGGGTACGGGTATCGAGTACCCGATTGCGACCTCTGGGATGAAGCCATGTTGCAGGCGCGGGTGGGATGATTCTAGGAACTTGAATTGAGAGAGGAGACAAGACGTTGGGAAATGAGTGACAAATGGCGACTCACCAGTGACTCACGGCCTACCCGTACCCGGCCGCACCAGGGTCGCAAACGGGTACCCGTACCCGGCCGGGTATCAGGGTAGCTGGGTATCGGGTAGGGTACGGGTACCCGTACCCGGCCGGGTACAGGTAGCTGGGTATCGGGTAGGGTACGGGTACCCGTACCCGGCCGGGTACAGGTAGCCGGGTATCGGGTATCCGGTTGCCCACCACCCACCGAGCCAATAGGAATGTCGCCACTACGGCCGCTGAATTGACCTCATGGCAGCAAAGACGTGAAACAGCACCACGTGGTGTGTGGCCACGAGCGGCATTCAAACTCGTAATTATAATATATGGGGACACACACACCCTCCAATATTCAAATAGTCATTCCTCGGTATACGACTGCTTTGGATTGCGTGGAATTTGGTACAAGTCGTGTTTTGACGAGAAAACAAGTATAACCCGTAAGTTTTTCACTATAAATCCTTTGTATGCGTGGCGGCTAGAGTCCTCTCGTCCTCTGGCTTGAGATGGCTGCCACCTATGGGTCAGATGATTGCATTGCACCATTAAGCAATTGGTAACTAAATATAATTTATTTTTGTCCTAAAAAGTGTAACATTTTGGGAAAATTTTTTCACGAACGTTAATTGTCACGCACAACGAGTCTGTGTGGAAAATGTCAGCTCGATTGGATCACGGGAAGTGGGTTAAAAAACGACCGAAAGATTTGCATGGTCCTAAGCAAGCAAGCGAACTTAATATAAAGGATTTTTAAAAGTCTTGGGATACGCCGTCTTGCTTGGGATACGCCGCGCTTGCTAGAACTTGTGTGGGAAGGGATGAGTCACCACGCAGACCCCGTTCACAACTCCTCCCCTTCCTCACAGGCTAGAAACTCCTCTCGGCAAGGTAAAGTGATGGTAAAGTTTATTTTGATTTAAAAAAAAATTTTGTACGAATTTATTTTAATTTATGTATGCATTTTAGTAATACGTAGTGTCTAAATTTTGATACAACCCATTCACGTATAATGTGCCATATAAAATATAATTTCTTATACTCTGGAACGGATTATTTCCCTACCCTTTATTTCTTATGGGAAAAATTCGTTTGGTGTACGTCATTTCCGGTACAAGTCCCACTTTCTGGAACGAATTAAGTTACCACTGTATGCTCAAAATGTCCCCCCGCCCCCAATATATTGATATAAAATAGATTTCTGTTTATATGATTGTGGTTAGGGTTGTACTTTATCAATCCCGAAATGGTAAAAAAAAAAGTAGAAACAGAGCAATATAATACATACACTATTAGACATTGTAAAAATAAATAAATAAAAGTCCATCCCATGTGTTAGCGAATTTTTTTTTTATATTTTAGGCAGAAATTTATTTTCAAATTTAGATATAGTTTTTCCTGGGGAGTGGGGGGGGGGGGGAAGATTTGGTCTGTCCCCCCAATGTTGACTCCATGGCTACGGCCCTCTGGGTAGCAGCACCAACCCGCCACGACACTGGCACCCAGAGCTACACGAATCGATATTCACACGGACGTTAAAATATCGGTTAATATCGGACACCAACTCGACGCCACCGCGTGCCCCTCACCTGCAGACGCCTCTCTCCCACGTGATCAACACCGGTAACAAAGGCACCACGTGGGCGGAGTTCCTTTAATAGGCGGGCAAACCAATCAGCAGCCGCCCCCCCCCCTCCGTACATCCGGCGGAAGTCCTTATTTGGGCAGGCAATTAAATCCAATTCTGAATATCTGAAGCGTGCAGTTCGCCTCTTTATCGTCCATTTCTGATTGGTTGGAGATCCATCGACTCGTGGAGAAACACGTGGACAGAGACACACACTCACACAGAGACACAGACACAAAGAGACAGACTCACACAGAGACGCAGACACACAGAGACACAGGCTCACACAGAGACACAGACACAGAGAGATATAGACTCACACAGAGAGATACAGAGAGAGACACAGACTCGCACAGAGAGACACAGACAGACATAGAGACGCAGACTCACACAGAGACACAGACACAGATAGACAGACTCACACAGCGAGACACAGACATAGAGACATAGACTCGCACAAAGAGACACAGACAGACATAGAGACGCAGACTCACACAGAGAGACACAGACTCACACAGAGAGACACAGAGAGAGGCACAGACTCGCACAGACACAGAGAGAGACATAGACTCACACAGAGAGACACAGCGAGGTACAAACTCACACAAAGAGGCACCGCAGACTCACACAGAGAGACAGACTCACACAGAGAGACAGCGAGATGCAAACTCACACAGAGAGACACCACAGACGCACACAGAGAGACACAGACTCACACAGAGAGACTCACAGAGACAGACTCACACAGAGAGACTCACAGAGACAGACTCACACAGAGAGACTCACAGAGACAGACTCACACAGAGAGACACAGACTCACACAGAGAGACACAGACTCACACAGAGAGACACAGACTCACACAGAGAGACACAGACTCACACAGAGAGACACAGACTCACACAGAGAGACACAGACTCACACAGAGAGACACAGACTCACACAGAGACAGACTCACACAGACAGACACAGACTCACACAGAGAGACACAGACACACAGAGAGACACAGACTCACACAGAGAGACACAGCCTTGCAGAAAGACACTGACTCGCAAAGTGTCCCCAATGAATCACACA